TCTCTCTCTCTCTCTCTCTCTCTCTCTCTCTCTCTCTCTCTCTCTCTCTCTTTCTCTCTCTCTCTCTTTTTATTTTATCTTTCTCTGTCTATCTCTTTCTCTATCGAGGTTTACCCCACCAACCTTACCCCTTTTCATGTGTATTTATTTATCTATAAACACATATCGTCTTTCAGTGAATTGGACTGCAATCTAAAGAAGTCTGTATTTCTATAAAGGGGACAATGGTTGGGAGATAGTGCGTAGTTGGATGCACAAGTAAAAATCAATATATTTATTCTTTGTACGATAGACAAAGCCAGTCTAATCCCTCCACTCCCACTTGTTTTTTGTTCTTTTGCTTTTTATCTGACTGTATTCCTGAAGCTCGAGTGTCGGTGGTTGGCAAGTGGCCTGGTGTGGTTTGCTTCTTCTATCATATTAAACATCTCTATCGGCCTTATCTCTCCTCATTCTAATTTGTGTTTTCAACTCTCTTGCATAGCATTTCCTCAAACATTCGGCCTCTGTGTGGCCAAATTGTTTGGTAAGCGTCGTAAAACTTACAAAAACAAAAAAACAAAAACCAAACAAAAAAACCAAACAACAAAACAACAACAAAACAAAAAAACAACAACACCAAAAACAAAAACAAAAACAAAATCCCAAAAGTCTCTTAACCCTATGTAATGTCAACCCTCCTCCTCTCCCTCGTACACACCACGTCCCTTTTTCTCGCTCTTACTAATTTCAGCTTTGTCAATGAGCGAGTCAACACAGAGCTCACCAAGCAGCTCCTGTCCAGTAACTCCGGCTTCGACGACTACGAGACCTCCGATGTGAGTCTGGCTCTGCTGGAGAAGCGCATCAAGTCATTCTTTACGGAGAAGGTGATGAGCCAAACCTCTACCACCATGACCACCCCCCGTACCTCCAACACACGCCGACAGAGCAAGGACGGGGACAATCAAGACTTGCATTTACCGCCCTTGCGCAGATTCCACGTTGATCTTCAGGTTCGTACTTTCTCAAAAAAAATGTTAATTATAACTAAATACAACACCACGTTATTAATAATGTGTTTAATATGTTAGCACCAGAGTGTCCCCCCACCCCAAAACAAAGTTTCCAGAGTGACTACACCCCAAAAAATAAATCTAATATGTGAGGCAGCGTGGTGGAATCAGGCTCTCGTCAATTTTTGGGCATGTCGAGTTATTGGTAACAGCTTAAAGCTTGTTCACTTGTCTTTATTAGGAGGAAAAAAATATCCAGTTATCATGAATACAAGTCGAGATATTTGTGAATGAAGGAGGTGGGGGTCACCTGTTTTCAGAGGTAAAATTAGTGTAGTTATTTCCCTAGCTTAAGAGTCCGTGACACCTGAAAATTTACATTTATTGTACCTTTACTCAACGTTTTTCAGAAAAATCCACACAGAAATGAGTTTTTTAATGGGCATGAAAGGTGTTGAACCAAACAAAAAAATTGATAAAAATTCACAAACCTGCAGATAAATGCAAGTTTCT